TCCAGGGCCTGCAAACAGCCGTGCCGCAGCTCCGGGGGGGGCGGCCTGCGCTTGGAGTGCCCTGTTGCTCACAGACGGCGGAGCCCCGAGATGGTGCTCACCAGTTTTTTACCAGCTCCAACCCAGCTGTCTCAAGACCAGCTGGAACTAGAAGAAAGAGCAAGAGCTCAAAGATCTAGGCAGACTGCTCTGGTCTCCTCTCGAAGGGAACCTCCCCCATACGGTTACCGTAAAGGATGGATAGCACGGGTGCTAGAGGATTTTGGAGATGGAGGTGCATTCCCAGAAATTCACGTGGCCCAGTATCCATTGGATATGGGCAGAAAGAAGAAAATGTCCAATGCTCTGGCTGTTCAGGTGGATGCAGAAGGAAAAATAAAATACGATGCAATTGCTCGACAAGGACAATCAAAGGACAAGGTAATTTACAGCAAGTACACAGATCTTGTGCCAAAAGAAGTCATGAATGTAGATGATCCTGAACTACAAAGACCAGATGAAGAAGCAATTAGAGAGATAACAGAGAAGACAAGAGCAGCCTTGGAGAAATCAGTCTCCCAGAAGATTGCAGCAGCCATGCCTGTTCGAGCAGCTGACAAACTAGCTCCTGCACAGTACATTCGGTACACACCATCTCAGCAAGGTGTTGCCTTCAACTCGGGAGCAAAACAGAGAGTTATTCGGATGGTGGAAATGCAGAAGGACCCTATGGAGCCTCCAAGATTCAAAATTAACAAGAAGATTCCACGTGGACCACGTTCTCCTCCAGCACCTGTAATGCACTCTCCTAGTCGAAAGATGACTGTGAAAGAGCAGCAGGAGTGGAAAATTCCTCCATGCATTTCAAACTGGAAAAATGCAAAGGGTTACACCATTCCACTAGATAAGCGTCTGGCTGCAGATGGCAGAGGATTGCAGACTGTTTATATTAATGAAAACTTTGCCAAGCTTGCTGAGGCTCTCTGAAATATGAATGGCCTGTAATCCTTCCTGTTGCTTTCTAGAAGAGTAGAAGTGGCCTTAACAGAGGCTTGTAATTGTGTCATGTTCTCTGGCCTTAATTCCAGACCCAGAAACACTTATAGCCTAATGAAGTGCTTGAAATAATTTTAAATCGGTAGTAAAATACATAGTATATTCTTTGCATGTCATTGTTGACACCATCAGAGTATCTTGATATTAAAATAAATCAGCTGACATTTGCAGGCTCATTTGTGTTATACTTCTTTCTTCTTCACAGGGTATGGACAGTGGCTTTGCTGGAGGAGAGGATGAAATATATAATGTTTATGACCAGCCTTGGAGAAGTGGCAAGGATATGGCCCAGAACATCTACAGGCCAAGTAAAAATATAGATAAGGACATGTATGGTGATGATTTAGAGGCTCGAATAAAGACTAATAGGTAAGAAGATAAAATTAAGAAATATGCGTTGCTACTCTAAAGTTCCAATCAACTGAGTATCACCCCTTCTCCTGCAGGTTTGTTCCTGACAAAGAGTTCTCTAACTCAGATCGTAACACCAGAGGGAGGGGCAGAGATGGACCAGTTCAATTTGAGGAGGATCCTTTTGGTTTGGACAAGTTTCTGGAAGAAGCTAAGCAACATGGTGGCTCTAAACGGCCATCAGACAGCAGCCGCCCTAAAGAACACGAGCATGAGAGCAAAAAGAGGAGGAAGGACTGAATGCTTCTGCTCCTTGAGAGATAGAGAAATGGACTACAAGCTTGGACTTCATACAAAAGGCATTTTTAATATCAGAGGTGTATACAGGGATGGTGTTGTAACATAGCAGTTCACAGCTCTTGTTGTGTGGATATATACACACACCCTAATTCCTCAACACAGAACAGCTGTCCCTGGGGAGTGGAAGAATGGAGACCACTCTGAAATATTCCACAAGGGAATTATTCTTAGCAAGTACTCTGACTTTGCTTGACTCCCTGTTGCCCAGCATCTCAGGGTAAGAATGTAGCCCCTTCCTACAGCTTTAGTTTTTTGTAGGTAATGAAAGCTTTTGCTTCATCTGTTAAAAGGTTTCCTGCTGTATATAATTACTGTCTTATGCTGTAATGGATGCTAGGGAGTTTGAGTCTGGTTCTTTAGTGTGGCTGTATAGTTTATTTGAACAGCTGGATTCTGTTTAAAAACAAATACTCATCCATAGTTTCTCAGTAGTCTTTTATTTTCTTTGCATTTAGTGAAATAAAGCCTCCTTCCACCACTCACTCACTCGGACTCCTTCTTTGACTGCGTCTTCTATGGGGCTGCTGTTTGAGATCAAGCTGAAAACAATGGAAATTATTCAAATTAGTTAGGCAAGAAGGTTTGATATTTTTTATTTCAGATCTTCTAAAACATTCAGATGAGAAGTGGAAGATATTCACTTGAAGAAGTCAGGACATAAGTTCCTGTATCCTCTGTGTGAGGCGATACCCACGTGTGGATCTCTCAGCAAATCCTGATAAGTTAATACACTCCAATAAGGAGATATAATAGGTCACGGATCGTGACAAGGGTGCCCGGGGGGGGCTGCAGGAGGTGCCCCCACCCCACCATAGGACCCTTGAGGGAAGGAGCCCAAAGGTGGGGAACACAAAGGGGAGGGGGTGAAACCCCAAATGGGCTCTGTTACCCCCCCCCAAGGGAAAACCAGCAGGGCTGGCTTTGCCCAGAAAGGTGGG